GGGATCCACACCCCATGGGGAGGACATGAGCAGGATGCAGGGCATCATGATCACCTTCCCTTTCTTTATGGCAGACCCAAAATCAAAGGAGGGTGGGTCCAAAACCCTTTTTCTGTCGCACTATGCAGCCATGGGATGGAACAGTTGATAATCACTGCCTGGATACATAGTATAAGGTGCCCTGGAGCTAGAAGAACTTTTAACTCATTAACTGACTAGCCTTCTGGGAAGAAAAAGGCAGAGCAAAAGGGCAGTCAGAAGGTTTGAGAACTCCCATTGATTTTGTGAACCCAAAAGTAGCTTGCAAGGTCATACATTCAAATTTTCCAAGGCCGGAAGGGACCACTGTAATCATGTAGTCCAACCTCCCATTTAACACAGGCCAAAATAATTCCTCTCTCAACTAGAGCTATCTGTTTTTTTGTTGTTGTTTTTTTAAAGTCCACAAAACCTTCATCTCCCAGCCATAGTCTGAGCAGAGATGAAAAAAATATCATCCCTGGCGTCACCCCATTGAAATCCCTGGAGTGACACAAGGTATGGATTTGGCCCCATGAATTTATAGATGTATCTTTTAAATTCCGCTAGGATCTCTCAGACCCATGCTTGACCCCAGAGGGGCTTCTAAAGATCACAGCTAGCCTGTATTTCAAATCTCCCTCAGCACACAGCTTTCACGTGAATGTGATTTCTAGGTCAACGGATGGAGAGTGGCAGTTAGGCCTGTACATTGCTCTGTGATTGGCTGGCAAGCAAGTCATTACAAACAAATTAAATCCCCATTGGCTGCTTCGTGATCCATCAGGGAGTATCATGAAATGTCCTAGCAGAATGCTACTGAGTAGAATGGAGTCCCTCTGTGGGCTTGTCTTCACTGCAGAGTTTACTCAAGTTATAACTTAGTGTTTCCCCTAGCTAGGGTCTTATCTACACACAAAAACCCTCAAACTAAGTGTGTGGTGCTGCCTTTAACTCAAGTTGACTAGCATGTCAGGGGTATAGGCTGAAGTTCAAGTTAGCACAACTCATCAGCTGTTAACATGATCAGTGGATGCAGGCTAGCTCTACTTGAGCCCTGCTGGTCCTTCAATGCCACCCCACAGTTCCCCCATGTAGTCAGAGAGGACAGACAAGTTCTCCCACAATCCACTGGGAAATAATCCATAGAGTGGCTTAGCTTACTGCTGTGCAATGAACTATGGGGTTATGCCCCAGAAGTATGAGTGCCACACACACACAAGTGAATGCAGCACCAATCTGGACACAGTAACCAAAGAGTTATTTTACAATGTGGTTGCTCTTCCTCAAGGTAGTAAGGCAAATGTAGCTAGCCTGACTTAATTCTGCAGTGAAGGCAGACCCAGTGACATACTGTTGGATTTCATGGTACATTAGAAATTAGAAATGCAACAGAAGGACCAGTCCAAACCAAACCTCCACTCAGACCTAGTCCTGTTATGCAGCAGGGGTCAGCCACAAAGCTCTGCTCTGGGTCTGTGTTCTCTCACACTTCCGGGCAGTTGGGATCCAAGGTTTTGGGTCAGGCCCATCTATTACAAAGTAGAAACTGTGAAGTCAATCTGTGCTGCTGCACGTTCATATTAAATGACACAATCTCGCTGCCTGTTTCCCTTACCCTCACATCGGATCCCCCAGGAGGCATTAGAGAGCTCCCTGCCCCTGCAGCTAGCCCGTAGGTCTCTAGCTTGGCTTCACACACTGCATAATGCTGTTTCTTGGCCAGTCACTCCTTTTGCTGCCTATATAGCGGCAGTTCAGAACTCTCTCTTGGGGAAAGCTGAGTGCAGTGTTTATTCACAGAATGCAACAAAGCATTTCCCACTGTGCGGTGATTTGAGCTCCCAGTTCCCGTGGAAACAATTCAGATATTTTATTTGTTGAGAATGGCTAATTGTACGATTGTACAAACCACAAAAACATCCTTCACGTCATCACAATAGGCTGCAGGTCCAGTGATTAAATAGGAACAATTCATAAACCTTGGTGACAAGCACCTGGAAACAGGAGTGCCACCAGCTTTTCTGCCACCCTAGGCGGCGGAAGGTCCTGCCCCAAAATGCCGCCCCCCCACAGAGGCGGCGGAAGGTCCCGCCGCCGAAATACCACCGCGGTCACCGCCCCCCAAATTGTAGCACCCTAGGTCGCCTAATGGGTTGCGCCGGCCCTGCCTGGAAATAAATAGCCAGGTGGCTACAGCAGACAGATAATATAGGCCCAGTCCACTGATGCCATGCTTGAGTAGCCAAGCTTAGCACAGTGAGATACGACCCACAATGAGGGGGAAAGAATCCTTCCCCATGGCCAAATGGTACTTGGTGCAGCCAAAATGTTCTGGGGAGTTGATTTATACAAATCTCCTTGACAGTACTAGCACAGACTGTTTGTGGACTAACACAGTGTGAGATGAATCTTCCCCATCCACAGTCTCTGTCATGGTAAAGATTTAAACCACTTGCAGGTAAATTGCCAAAAGCTTGCACAAGATTTTAGCCACATGACTCCCGCTGGCTTGGGGATAATGGCACAACTAGTAAAACCTAATGGACTGAATGGGATGTCACATGATTCCCCTGGTACTAGGGTTACCAGAACCTTGCAGAACCTCAAAGCTACAAGCTACTTCAGTAGAAACAATATTTTAATCCAAGAGAAAGTGCCTTTGGACACAAATACTAGTGCTTTGAATGGAAAGATATTTGCTAAAGATTGGCCTGTTCCAATATGCTGGATCCAAGACACTCTGAATTTTGTATCAGAGGGATAGCCGTGTTAGTCTGGATCTGTAAAGAGCAACAAAGGCTACGTCCTCACTAAGGTGGGGGGTTGAATAGCGTAGCTGAATTCGACGTATCGGAGCCGACTTACCCCGCTGTGAGGACGGCGGCAAATCAACCTCTGCGGCTCCCCCGTCGACGGCGCTTACTCCTACCTCTGCTGGTGGAGTACAAGCATCGATTCGGGGATCGATTGTCGTGTCCCGATGAGACGCAATAATTTGATCCCCGAGAGATCGATTTCTACCCACCGATTCAGGCGGATAGTGTAGACCTGCCCAAAGAGTCCTGTGGCACCTTATAGAGTTCAGGTCCCAGTCTTATAGTTTCACTACTGATTCATGATTCCTGGTTCCAAACTGACCCCATTCAAATCCTGTGCAGTTTGAAATGCCTCTTTCAAACAAAGAGAGTATGGGTTCTGGAGCCCATGATGTAAGCAGATTGCAGTACATTCTACCAGCTGTTTTCCTCCTTTCACGGCCATGTTTTATCTGGCAGTGGAATAGAGTGACTATTACCTTCCTCACTCAGTGTCACAAAAGTGAATTTGTAAGTGATGTCTTGTAAAGCAAATAAAATAATCTCAATGTGACAAACGGCCCAAGGATATCAGACTTAAATGTTAATTGCCAAACAGCACACACCATCTCAAAAGAGGTATCTGTTATAAGCAGCAAGACAGGTTTGGGGGGGGAAAAGCTTTATTGGAGAAGATTATTTTATTCACATGCCATCTAGACACATTTTAAAATTTGAAACCTGCTCTATAGAATCCTTTTGCTATGGAAGGTCTAAATTGTTTGCACTCTAAGTGGCATGATGAGCAGGTGGCATTTGTGTGGCACTGCCGTGTCCTATCCAAAGCTAATCAACACAGCTTGAAATTCAGATTGAGCATTTGTTCTTGTGCCGTTCACTGCAATTTACGGACCAGACGTTACTTGGTGAACAGCTCTGAATCACAAACATATTCAAGCAAATCATAACTGCTCCTGCACAACTTATTAACAGAAAAGCAAAGTTCATCCAATAAGTTATTGGAAGCAAATATTTCCTCTTGTCCTCGTTTTGAGTTTAATCAATGAATGAGCTTAATCAATGAAAGAATCAGTAAAGTACTTTGAGCTCCTGGAATGAAAAAAAACTACGGATGAGAGCAGAATTTGGGATTTTTATGGCAAGTATGCTAACATGAAGCAAAGTGATAGACTAGGGCCTTCTCTGAACTGTAGATTAGCCCCAATTTCAGCCATTGGTGGAAGCACTGCACTGGGATTCAGAAGATTGGGTTCTAGTCACAGCTCTGCCACTAGCCTTCTCCTAGCAAGTCACTTCCCTTTTCTGTACCTCAGTTCCCCCAGCTGTGAAATGGGGATAATGATGCTGACCTCCTTTGTAAAGTGCTTTGAGCACTCTGGATGAAAAGCTCTACATAAGAGCTAGATATTATTCCCCCAATAGTCTCAAGCCCTGAGCCTAGCCAGGGTCCTCTTGTTTGTGTTCATAGCTCCTTTATGCTTTTAAAGAAAGTCCCTTCACTAAACAGTAATGAGGAATCAAGCAAGTAAATGAAAGCCAAAGTACAACCCAGGGTCATTATCTGCTCCATAAACTTTAAAGGCTTACTCCACTGAAATTGTCAACATCAGTAATATAATTTCTAAGTCTATTGCCATAATAAAGTTCCAATATTTCCCCGTTTAGGTACCATTAGCCTTCATCTGAAACAGACCTGCTGATCCAAGTATGGTAACCTAAGTTTGTCCTTGCGACTTCCAGGGGAGCGAGATTTGTCATAATTTTGACTGCACTCTCTATTCTCCAAAGCTATCTTGGGTTGCTCGTCCATCTACAGGGCTCCCCTGATGTAGATAGGGCGCAGGGATAGTGAGGAAAACAAATGGCTGACAGGCACAACTCTTTATACATGGTGAAGAGACTGGGGCTGGTGAGTACGTCTCCAGTGCCTATGCAGGGGAGTGAGATATCAGCACAAAGTCTTATGCCCTGAAGCCCCACTGAGCAAGATGGCCTTGGGGAAATCAGCCAGCTCACTGTATCAAAGGGAACCTCGCCACATACTGCTGGTTCCACAGGAATTTGTGGAGTTATATAACAGACTCATTTTTTTTCATGGTTCTGGAATGCAAGACAATAATAACTAATCTTTTTTTTATCCTTCTTTCAATATTCTTGGCTGAGTTTGCTGCTTATTAAAGTGGCTTAGAGAGACTTAACAGCACTGGCTAGAACCAAGAATAGTGCAAGCCGGCATTGTGCAAGCTTCACATGCACGGATCAGCTGCTGAACCTCAATCCAGACCTGCAGCAGCCCCTCTTGTTCCAGTTGTGAGCCTCACTTAATCACAGACGGAGGTAAAATTATGTGGTGGCTTTTGTGATATAGACATATGTTTACTTGGGGCCTAGACTGAAATGAATCAACCTCATTTTCACCAATAACTTGGGTTGACACGCTTCACAAATCTGAGGCAAAGACAGAAACACACAACAACATTGACACACTGGAATGTCAGAATTCCTGTGGTATGACATAAAATATAGGACTGGAGCATCCTGGGTCATCATGTCCAGTCCCGAGACCGGTTGAAGGTATCTCTACTCTGGTGTTCTGTTTCACAGTAAGACATAAAACCCTGCTTGTGTAAAACAGCTGGAAATTTTTCTGATCCCAGCTGGTTTATATCCTCATTAACAGCCCTTGTCATATTTATGTTGGTTAATATAAATGTAGTTGGTATTCTATGCCCTGAAGTCATGATGCACTTATCACAAGGCTCCCAGCATCAGATTTAAGCTTGAGGGAAGGCTGTGTGCCAAGTAGGTCAGGGATTTGGAGGTTACAGAGCTTAAGACAAAAGGAAGAAAAGCAGGTTGGTACCATATTTGGGGAGAAGGAACAGGCTAATAAAATCAAGACTCCAGATAGTCCAGAATTAACTCACTGCAACTCAAGTTAGACCTTTCCACTGCCTACTCATTTTTGTGCAGTGCTGGCCTCTAGCCACACCAGAGATGAAAAAGGAGCCTGAAAATCTTTGTATACTAGGAAACTGGTATTCAGTTAACTCCAGGATGTCCACATAAGCAGGGTTGGAACTGGTTGCAGCCTCAGGCTGCCACAGTGTTTCACTCTCAAACCCACCGGGGGGCTAGCACCTCTGAGGTCTTAGCAGCTGAAGTGCCTTCAGAGCTTGCCTCTGAGTCACAGTACACCTAGCATGCTGCTGGGGAGGTTTGGTGTAGTCCAGCACTGAGCCGCTGTAGTCATTACAATCCCGTCAAACACAAATCTACCAGCCTTCTTCCCCAGGACCAACAGGTCCTTCCCCAAGTCACCGCTTTCCTAAAGCCTTTCCCAACTGAGGCTTCTCCTGCAGTTATGGCTTTCCAGACTTTCTACCTAGCTGGTAAATACAATAAAGCAGCAGCCACTACAACCCACTTACCCCCTTCTCCTAACACTGAGTCTCTTGCCTCTAGCTCAACAGGGTCCTTTTTAAAGGCAGCACCACCCCCACCCCACCAGGCTGCCATCACATGAGCCTTGGTCACCTGACTCAGCTGCAGGCCAGAGCCTCAAAGCAGGTGATAGTCATTTGCCCAAGGAGCAGCTTGTTGTTCCAAGCTCCTGAGAGGGCCATGCAGCTGTGGCTGGCAGAACACTGAGGTCTGCTTATTAACAGCCTTTTATTGTCAGTGCCTTTGCTTGGGCAAATAGGTTTCTAGTCCCCACCCCTTTGTTCTCTTGTCTTCTTTAACCTTGGGGCAAATACTTTCTCTCTTCTTCTGTTACTGCTTGCCTACATACGCCAACTCCTTCCCCCCATTTATATCCCGATGGGCTGATGGCCTCCCCCACTGTTCCCCCCAGCTTTGCACACGTCCCTGGTGTTTAAACATCAGTCGCCTGATCCACTCTCAGGGCTACTGAAGCAACATGGTCTAGTGGTCAAAGCAGGCAACAGCGTATCCTGCTTTCTGACAGCCTCATATGGTGCTGGATGGTTTCCTGATGATTTTCCCTTTCACGGGAGCGTATGGATATAGAAGGGCTAAAAGCCCTGAGCTCCTGCATGAAATCTATCTCCATTCAGAAAACACAAAGGCAGAACTTCCCCCAGAACTGTCGTCGTGTTCCTAATTGGACTAAATGTATTTAATCACTCTGTGCTTGTTGGAGGGCCCTGTTAATCCACTGGAGGATAATGACACCAAGTCGACTTCATCTCTCTCATTTGTTACATTCTGAGTGATAACAAAACAAATTAGCAAAAAGTCAATTACAAAGGATGATAAATAAATGGCACTGGAATTAAACAGTTGGGATTTGTGACAGGCAGGGGACATGGAACCATAGATTCAAGCCTGCAACCAAATTCTGTGCCTTTAGCTTGCCCAGTTAGATTTTAAGCATGTGTGAGTGAGGTCTGGGATAACATGGTAAAGGGAGCATGAGTCTGAATCTTCACTTTGAATGTCCCTTGTGTTGTGAGCTTGTCTTTAATAGAGCTCCTTTGAGAGTGATAATTTCCCTTTTCTTATGCTTGGTCTACCCCTGAAGTTGTACAGGTTTAACTAAAGGTCTGGTTTGATACTGATTTAGTTAAACCAGTACTACTTTATGTGTGGACAATCTTCTATCCGTTTAACCCTGGTTTACAGGTGTTTAGCTTGCATGGGTTAATTTACAAATATGCGCTGCCCTAATATCCCCAGTGTTAAACTAAGAGAAGAGAGTGCACACCAAAAGTTGCACCTGTTAATTAAATCAAAATTGAGTTAAACGGTACAATCATGTGTGGACAAGCCCTTATCGGGCTAACCAGAGCATAGGAGAGACTTGTGTCACAGTTCAGGGCAACTGCACTGTATTGCCCCTCAGCGGTTCAGAGGAGAGGAAGTTTATTAGCACCCCCTCCTCCTGCTAGAGAAGGTCCATACAGTCGAACAACAACACATCAATGGCACGTTTACACAATGGACCCCAAAGGTCTTAACTCTAATTCAGTAAAGCTTATCTTAATTCCACAAGGTTTGTTCAGGATATTACAGGATGTTGGCAATCTATCACAGCCTGAACCCTCGGCTCCTTGACCAGGTATATCAGACAGTAACTGTTCCATCTAGAGAGGGGCCCAAAGCAAACTCTGGAACCAACCCCCCAGGCTTTGCATCTGATTCAGGCCCACCCCTCCTTCTGTCAGTGATGGTTGTGTTAGGGTTACCATACGTCCGGATTTTCCCGGACATGTCCGGCTTTTTGGGCTCCAAATCCCCGTCGGGGGGGAAAGCCCAAAAAGCTGGACATGTCCGGGAAAATCCGGAGGCCGGGACGGGACGGGCCGGCGGAGCGGGGCCGGGACGG